AACTTGGTTTGGATTTGATTGATAGGACCTCCAAGTTTGGACCCCAACCATCCCCCAAGAAACACAGTATAGTCAACTCTTCACTGCTCCGTGGGCCCATTCTGGTTCCTGGGCCCCCCACTCCTTCAATTCCACCATCAATTACCCCTCCATTTGTAATTTTGTCTTTTTTTGACCAGCATTTCTAATTTTCTATCATCCCCTTCGTTCTTGGTAAACTGAATATAAATCCTTCATTGGATATATATATATATATATATATTCTATCATTGCTCCGAATGACATAATAAGATATGTTTTGCGTGGGGGTGTGGAGATGTTGATAGAAATGATAGTAGACGGATAAAAAGCCTGGACTTAATCCCGCACTGATTAAGGTTATTGGCATAGGATGCCAATAACTGAGCGTAAATATATATGTATATATAGAGAGAGAGAAGAGACGCCATTATATTAATTATTATGAGAGTATTCAAGGTTGACCAACCTACATGTTCACATATACATCACAAGAATCTATTAGGGCAGCAACCGGTAATTATATACGCTCAAGAAACCTAATTTTTTAAGGTTGATACATATATATATGTATCATCCATATATGCCCTTCGTTTGGGTATATTCGGAACAAATTCATGGAGCACCTTGATTTGTCTGATTATGCATACAGCCACGGCCATGTTACAGATTTTATAATTAGTTAAGAGGTTCAAATCAGTTCCTTTTATCCTTTTGTTTTTTTTTGGTCGTATGAACACGAACAATTATAAATTTCCGAGATCATTTATCACCTATATCATTCACTCCAGGCAATCTTGATATATTTCTAATTTTAAACACAAAAAGACCTTTTTTGCATAAATAAATAATGTATATAAACAAATAATACACATATACGTTAGCTTCATACGTGCTGAGTTGAGATCAAGTCTAGTCCAGACGAGTATTGATTCATGCAAGTTTCTAACGCCAGAAGACGCAGAACTGGTAACAGGGCAGTATGAAACGACACTGGAAATTAAAAGAGAAACATGTAGGTGGGTTTTAGTGGCGGAAATTAAAGAGTGAGTAAGTATAAGTGGTGGCCACAAGAGACGTAGGGTTGCAATGAAGAAAATGAGGGAAAAGATTCGCAGCTTTAAGCAGATGGGTTGGCTCCACTGCACAAAGATGGATCAAACCCCATGTGTTGAAGGTCCCCCCCCATATTCACTTTTGTTTCATATACTACTCATCCCTCCTTCGCCTTTGTCTTTCTTCTTGTTGTTTCTTTCATTCCCACCCGATTCTATCTATTTATCTGCAATATCCATTCCACCATTTTTTTTTTTAATCATCCTCATTGTCTATAATTCTCCTTATATATTCTGCATGTATAATATAATCTATCATCAGATAACTAACTAAACCCTCGTGCTTGCTTTAAAGAGAGAGTACGTACCAGAAGCCCATGTGATGGAAGGCGATGATGAGCACTGGTAGCTAGGCCATCAATTAATGAAAGAATTGAATTGAAGAAGAAAGGTGAAGAGCGCACTCTAAATTTGTGGGGCTACCCTACACCACCAAAGCCATGTTACTCCTTTGCCCTTCTCCCTCGTGGGGTGTATCGTGATCGCCCTTCCGTACCAAAACCACCCCCGGGGGTTATAATAAGTACACCATATACTTAGCCTTTTTCCTCCCTTCCCTCACCTTCTTGCTTTCTCCTTCCTCAAACCACCACTGCATTAGTACGTCCACCTATAACTCTTCTACGTTCCTGCCCTATAACTCTCCAAACTTAGCTATCGTATATATAGCTGCCAAATGCACGTGTTGTACTTCTTTTGGGTATATGTGTATCAAGGTTCATATATCGTTGATAATCAAGTTTGATAAAGGCTCTTTTGGATAGCACTCCAAACCATGGTTTGGGGAAAATGCTACCCAAACAGCCTCTCCAAAAACCAAAACCATGGTTTTGGGTCAAAACCATGGTTTTGGAAAAAGCAAAATTTTTTTGCTTTTGGAGAAAAAAGGGAGAGTGTGTGGGCCTATATGATATGTATCTTGTTATTTTTTTTATAAACATATTTTTTTATAAATATATTTAATCTTATATTTTATAAATATATATAGACATTAATTATTTATTAATTATATTATCTTATGTATTATTAATTATGTTGGTAAAAAACATATTATTAACAATTTTATTTCTTCAAATTAAAATATATAATAAAATCTATTTTTTCTGTAATTATTATATTAACTTATGTCTTTTTTTTAGTAATTTGTATATATAAAAAGTGCTTCTGATAACAACTATCCAAACACTCTCACTTCTCAGAATCACTTTTTTACAAAATCTATTCTTCACAAAATCTATTTTTTTCAGAATCTATTCTCCAGAATCACTTTTCCAAACCACGGTTTGGTTTCATCCAAACACACCCAAAGAAAGTTTGAAGGGCTTAGTTATGGCATACCTTCTCTTTGATAATCAAGCTTGATGAGAAACTTTTAAAGGATTGATTATCCAATGATCAATGTGCGTATAAAAGCTGATCATATCAGACCTGTTAAACTTAACATTCAAGAAGTTTCAAGGAAAAAGAAAAAACATAGTTAATCCAACCAATATCCGTTCTAAGCGTTGTTGAAGTATGAGAAATAAACATCTTATCACCAATTTTCCTGAAGAATACATTAAAATTATAGCTATATTTAAGCGTTATTGAATGAATGATAAATCATGTGGACATATACTAACCTTCTCAGTTAAGTGTGGCAAAAATTCTTCTTCATCACCACATTGGAGGACCAATAACGTGAGGGCCACTACAAGCGACCGAATCATCTTGGAAGGAGGGAAGCACAAATAATATATATTGATTAGGTTAATCATCAGATCTTGTACGTATTACTGTAATACATATATACTAATCCATAATCAGCTTCACTATTCAAAGTAAGATTAGCATTTGTTTAATTTGTTGATCATATTTTTTTTCCTGGATTGGGTGGCATGTGTGAGGTGGCTCCTACCCTACCTACTCATCACATGCTTCACCACGAAGATTCATTGGATAATCAAGCCGAAATGATTGGTCCAAATCAAGTCATCGATTCAAATTAACCATCGAAAGCTGTGTTTGAATATATAGTACAGTGCCAATTTGACCTTGAGGAATATTATCGAAGCACTCAACAATTTTTATGGCTACTCCTTTGACTCTGAACCCCTGAATTGTTGTGTCGGTGTGCATGTGTGTGTGTGAGAAGTAGTGTTCCAAATGAATATTGCTTCACATGTTTAACTTAAACAGCTTTTTCCAAAATTTTCCAATGGGAGATGGACCCGGCAGTTGGACTGAACATCCATTGGAAATCCCTCTTTACGTTAAATTCTAAAAGGGAGTACTACAGATCAGCGTGTGTCCTTTGCTTTTCCATTCGAGATTCGAAAAATCTTGAAAAGTCGGTTTACATAATAATCTCACTTTTCTTATTGAATCCAAACGATCGAGAACCAGATCTCGTAAAGTCATGCTTCGTTGAATCAAAGTGGAATCTTAATTATTGCTTAATGACAGTGATTTTTCACTTACATTATTCCCTCAAAGGATCTCTTTTTCCTTGTTTGTTTGTTTGTTTTTCTAACTACCAAGTGATGATCACGATCTGTACAAGATGATCACGATCTGTACAAGTTATAGTCCTCCCCTCATCCCTCTCAAACCAATGATAGTACTAAAATCACGATAGAAAAAATAGCAGGAAAAAAAAATCCCCTACAAGAAATATTATTAAAAGGAGTCGCTAAAAGTTGATTTTTCACAGTAACACTAAGTTAGCACTAAAAGTTGTCTTTTAAAGATTTTTATGGTGAATTTTAGACTTTCAACAGTGAAATAATCTTCTTATTGTTTGTTCTCAAAGAATGAACCATTCTTTTATTTGAAAATAGAATATAAGAAAAACTGGAAAGCCAGTGAGATTTAAACCAAATGAAAACAAAAGGGGATTTCATTAGGATGGTGATCAAAGACAACTCAAGCATGGATTTAATTAACAAAAGGCAAAACCACCCTTCATTGTAAATTAGTAACCAACAAGGTTCGTGTCGGGTCATAAGGAGCCAGAAGAGTGATTATTGCCAGCAAACTGTGTGTTGGAACATAATGGACACACACACACATTAAACATTGTTGAGATTTAGATATATTTTAGTTTATCTTGTTAAAAGCCAGTTAAAAACATCCTTAAGTTGCAGGCCATTATTCAAACAGCAAACATGGGGAGCAAAGTAGGAGTGTATCCTGAAGCCATGATGAATCAGAATCATAATAAAGATGGAGTCATAAGCTTAAACAAGTAAAGGACTTTTTTGTGAGTGTCTTAAAATTTATCATCATCTTCACACCAATGTACTTTCTTGCCCTAATTAATTCCTCTTGCAGGTTCTTGTGCACGTGGTCCTTTTTCTGATGTCAACTGAGTCATCATTCAATTTTATACTCCTAGAAACCAAATGTGAGAGAATAAAGGCATTTCGTGGGTGCACTATAGATCCACACAGGCGTGACCCAAACTACTGTAGCCCAAACTCGGGATTAAAGCTCTAAAATTGCGTATGCATTAGAAGCCTCTGTGTTACTTTGATCAAAATTCTTATAATTTTAACACAATTTCAGATGGAACGCCACTGTTCGTTATTTTCGATGATCAGAAATCACCAGAAAAAGTTAAATTTGGTTTTGTATTTTGTGCAAGCAAGGTTGAGCCAGTGCTGATGACTGTTTAAGATGCAGTCTGGAAAAGTTACTGTATAAATTAAAGGCCCATTCATACCTTTCAAACAGAAGGCCCATTAATCCCTTAAACTTGTTTAAAACATGAGGCCCATACATGCAAAAGAGGCTCCATGGTGTGACATGAAAAAACCAGACGATTGTAGAGCTTATGTTCAGTTTTGTTGGTTTGTTTGTGTGCACTATTCATGAATCCTCCACAAACATCCATACATATAAAAGTCTGAAATTGCAAGACCACGTTCACATGGATTCATAATAGACAAACACAACAAGTTATTATAACGGCTGGCATGCAGGACTTACACACACACACACACACACATATTTGGTTACGTGGAAGTTAAGACTTAATATTAGAGTGTGCTAATTCTGGTTCGATGTTGGAACCCTTGTAGAAGAAATTCCTCCGAAACTCAGAAAACGTCATGGACCTGTATGTTGGAGTGGCTGAGGTGCCTCCTTTGGTAAAAACTTCTGCAGGTTCTATGACGCTTTCATTCGATGGATAAACAAAATATGCAACACTTGTACGCGCGGTTGTTGAATTTGTCACAACCCTATGTTCAGCACCCACAAGCCTTCCATTACTAATCATCTGTAAATATCACTCAACTCTTTTCTGATCAATCAAAACAATACTTTGAAGAAGATGATGGGTATATATAGAATTAGAATGAAAAGATCTATATTTACCTGTAAGAGAAGGCCTATGTTAACGACGAAGCCATTGGGAAGAGGTTCAACTTGAATCCATTCTCCATCTTTCAGGACTTGAAGGCCATTGACGTCTTGTTCTTGAAGGAGGATGGTGATGAGGTTAGGGTCTCTGTGCTTGGCTAAACCCAAGGTTAAACTTGGCTCTGGACAAGGAGGGTAGTGATGAACTAACAACGTTGGATTCTCACTCAGTTTACCACACAAGTATCCAGTGCTCAGCCCTAACGCTTCACCAAGCAGCTCCAATATTTTCTGTTCCAGTTTTCTCAGTTCTTGTGCGTATTTCCAAACCACCTCACTGGAAAAAGTCCCAAATCGTGTTATAATAACTTAGTATTTCATTTATAATTTTACTCCACAACTACTTCGCAGGAGAGGGGGAGAAAATTATTCTTCAGGCTTTTACCTTCAAATTTCGATTTCGGCATGCATAATAATAAGAAAAAGTTTGATTAGCCTTGTGCAAGCTCTGTGTGTGTGTGTGTGTTTTTTTTTTCCTCAAAAGGATATTGGAGATTTATTTAAAAAATAAATATAGAAGCAAGTTGAGTTGATCCGTATTTGACGGTGACATCTTCCTTAAATCTTAAATTGGATTCAATTTCATTGCTTCAGCGATGAGGACACACGTATTATGCTATTAAGGATAATCGAACAAAGGAATAAATTTCATTATGCCCTTTGAGCTGGATTAAGTAAAGTGATTTCCTGGTCACATCAAATTCTTAAATCAATTCAATTCAGTGCCTTCCAATTATGGACGTAAGATTATGACGTGAAACAGTTTTCTGATGGAACATCCACGCCTTGCTTTTGGAAGCATCCTAATCCACTGAACACATTAATCACGACTGTATTATACCTCCATATACGTACATGCACGAGCGATGAAATATATATATAAATTAATCATACCTCGTAGATCCAATGAAATTAATTATATACATATATATATTTGTATCTGAAACTTGGTGGAATGTAAAAGAACAAAAGAAAGGAAATTATATGAAGCATATATATAAATATTTATACCGGTAATCAGGAGGTTTGTGAGGCCAATACTGTACGTATTCACCAGAAGGAGGGCAAGGGAGTGTCAAGGTGTCCTTCCAATACTGAATAGCGTCCCTGCTGTAATTCTCACTGCCTGTATGGAGCTTGCACCTTCCACTTGGGTCCCTCCAGCATTCTTCTACCTTGTCCTTCCCAGGCATGGCATGAAAGTCCTTGCAAATCTTCAACGTTTTCTTCATTAGTTCCTCCGAAACTCCATGGTTGATTACCTATAAGAGGAGACATTATTGGTTCATTATTCTCGTCGACGGCCTATACTACTTCCTTCTTCTCATTCTATATATGGTAAAAGAACGTGGGTAAAACCTAGTTAACTTAGAACAAATCAGTGTTCGTGGATAACATGAAGGAAAAAAGAACTCAGGTTAGCGTGGACAACCTGGAAAAAGCCAAAGTCCTCGGAGGCTTTCAAGATGTTTTCAGCTACGGCTGCTGGATCATGTCCGCGGAGGTCGACCACCGGAATCGTCTTGCCGGAAGCTGGAATGGGGTTGCCGGGTCTGGTTTCTGGCGGATGCACATAAGATGGAGGCACAGAGGAATGAACGTTAAACCAGCTTGACACAAGCAACTCATCCAAGCTCGCCATTATCCTTACAGCCTGCAGCTTCAGATAAGCGGAGAACTGCACTATATATATTTGTGTATAAGAGAAAATAAGGGTTTGTATATATAGTGCTAGTGAGCTGTGCAGCGCTGTAATAATATAAGCAGCTTTAACTCTTCTTGCAGTTAATTTGTGATTAAGTTAACCGTACAGCTGTTTTCCTCAGTTAAAAGAAAAAAGAAAAAGAAAAGAAAAGGCTAGAACTACATGCAATGCTCCCTGTTGAGTAATTAAAAAACTACATTTCATTATGACAAACCATACAACGTTAATTTTTTTCTAATATTAACTATCAGGATGATATTTACCCGCGGTGTGATATAAATATATAATGGATTAATTTGAACACACAGACATATGTGCAAACTGGTATATATGACAAATATACTTATATTTACCCTTATGGCAAAAATATACTCATAATATTCACCATATTTGCAAATATATAATTATATATAATCATATATAAAAGTTGAATTCAAATTTTTACTGTATCATCAGAATCTTTTCATCTACCGTACATATTTCTCTATATAATTTTTTTTATTCATTATCATATATATATATATATATATATATATCTATTCGCACACATTAACTCTGCTATTTATAAATTCCTTTTCCCCCTGAGACGTGTGCCAAACAGATTTTAAATAATTCTATGTGCATGCACAGACGGGTTCCTTTAGCCTATGATGATATATATAAAATATATACCTTCGACGACTGCGCTTATGTTCCATGTAGAGAGATTGTATTTTTCTAGACAATCTTAAATTAATGCTCACCTCTTTTATTAATAACCGCTAATAATCCAGCAATTGTGCCTCAGCAGGAAAAAGTAAGATTATTTCAGGGAATTCATAAATAATATATGTGACGGGCAAGCTAAGGGCAGAGATACTTTAGATATGGTGAAATCATAATTTGTAGGCGTAAAAGTGAACACAAAAATTAGGCAGACTAGCTAAGAGAATCCAACACGTCTGTTTGAGTAAATTATAACAAGAGAGCTAGCTGGTCGTGTGAATGAATATCGATGTCGGTCGGTAAAAGTCTTGACTTGAAAAGACAAGTTCCTATATTCATTAAGCCCCCGTGTGTTCAAAACTTGCAACATTATTATTTTTCCCCACTTTTTCCCAGTAAAAGGACAGCTTGTAAAATTGGTGATCAATGAGTTTACCGAAAGGAAAAAGGGAATGGTGATGGAGAATTGGTGCGAACTAAAGTGGATTTTAATTGTACAGATCCACATATAGTCAACCATATATAAAAGTGCACATTTTATGTGCGGACATATCTTGAATTAGTTAATAGATGAATGAATTAACGTTGAAGAATTATATGTGGGCGTGAGTTTATAGTAATATATGTAGTGGAACAAAAAAAATAAAAAGTAATATTAGTGGAAGAAGACGACATGATTAGGGAGGGACCAGTTCATGAATGTGGATGCTTTTTATCACTGTTGAGTCGGCTCTGCTGCATATATAACAGTGACTTCATACTTTTCTAAAAAAAGCAGCCAGTCACCCTCAATTAATTAATATGCTTGTAATTTTAATTAGACTCACACCCACCTACGTTTTTTTTTTTCATATTGCTTCTTAACTTTTTTTGACCTTCTCCGTTAATTAGCTTAATTCTCATTTCACACCCAAATCATAACTTCGATCGATCTCTTTTATTTTCCACATTCACACATCCATGATCCATCCTCTCCTTTTCAAATAGGTAATTATATGAATATGAATGGGCTTTTTCGTCTTCATGTTGGATTGTTCACACACACATGCGTACCTGTGTGTAGATATATGTGTGTAAATATATATATATGTATATATTTATATGTATATATGTCCTTGACTTCGATCAAAGAATTTCAGCATTTTAGTTATGAAGGTAATGTGCGTGCATTTAAAGTTTCCTCTTTCATTTTAAATTCAATCGGTCGACTCATTTCCAACGTCTTGATGGTTAATGATCTTCACGTGCTTGGATTCAATGACTTAATTGGTGGCCCGTTTAAAGAGAGGGCTTATTACAGATATTCATAGATAGATTATTTATTAATGAAGGGTTTAATTGGATGAAATTTCATTGCCCGTCTTAGGAATGTACAAGTGGCCTAATCAAACCAAAGATCTGCATTGGGTGCTCATTAGGTGATGAGCACCCAATGCTTATCACCCATCTGGACCGTCCAGATTTATTTTTATTTTTATTTTTTAAAAATAATTATTTTAATAGGTATAAGATAAAAAATAAAAATAATCTCATAATTATCATTCTTTAAAAATATAATTTTTTCTATTTTAAAATAATTATTTAATAATATTAAATCTGGACCGTCCAGATTAAATCTAGACAGTCCAGATTGCTCATCAGGTGATGAGCATTGGTGATGAGCACCAAATGGGAACCCTCAAACCAATCTTGTTTTATCACAACTTCGAGTTAGGGTAAAATCCTACATAACTTAACCCCATCAAAACACATCCAGATTTAAATTTTTGTGAAAAAACTATTGTTTTATAGCATTATTTTTCGTGTTATTTTATGCAATATATTGTTTTTATGATAACATCGCCATAATTGATTTTTTTTTTTTTAGCTTCAATATCATAGTAAAATAATGAATAATTGTTAAGTATATATAATTTTAAGAATATTACTTTTGATCCTAATATTAGGTTTTAAACAATTATTTTTCATGATGATGATTATGTATATTTTTTAATTTATGAATATAATTATTTCCATTCTTTTTTTTTTTTTACTATTCCGGTCCCAAACATTCGGGCAGCCCAATGGCCAGACTCTACATTGGGCTGGGTCATAGGGTTGGGGCGAACCGGGACCCGCATATGCCCCTGCTGCCAATTCATTTTTACGTTTAATTATGTGGATTTGATGAATTGAGAGCATAATTATGGGGAATAAGTGAGATGGATTTGGATTCTCTCCACTTCTTCTCCCATCCTCTTCCCCTCCACTACCTTTTTTGGCCCTTCACAGCTATTAGATCAAAATTTTAATGGTTCAGATTTAATATTTTACAACATTTTATAAAAATAAATATAATTATAAAAATAGATAAATAAGTTTAAACTGCTAAAATCTAATTTAAACAACTTATATCTACAGACTGTTATGACATAGCAAATTTTTTTCAACTTTTTTTTATTACAGTTGTTAACTGTTTAGACCAGATTTTAACAGTTTAAATTTATTTATTTTTTTTAATAATATTATTTTTATAAGATGTTAAATCTAGACTGTTAGAATTTTGATCCAATAATTATGAAGAGAAAAAGAGAGCAGTGGAGGGAAAGAGGATGGGAGAAGAAGTGGAGAGAATCCAAGCCGGAGGGAGATAGGTGGATAAGGCCAATAGATGATCATGAACCCTAAGGATCATCGTCGTGTCCCTCTAAACAAGTCAGGACGATTTGAGATGACCGACATCAAACTCATCTAACCACAATCCCATGCATCCCTGGCCCACACCCCCACTACTTTTATCTTGGAATTTTTTATTTTAATTTATGGTTACTTAAAAAAGCATACTTTACGTGTATGTATATATGTATGAGTCTATTATTTAATTTATAATTTGATGTATAAGCCACATACGTAATCTTTAATAGGTGTTATCTATCATAAAGTACATCAAGTCGAGTTGGCACCTAATTCAAATTCTGACCTGGCTGAAAAATTAGGATAAGTTTTAGAGGCGAAAAAGAAATAATAACAGTTAAGTTTCAATTTTTTTCTTAATAATAGTTAATTGAGTTCCTGAAAAATTTTGTTCAAAGATAAGTTTAAAATGTAGATTCAAACCGTTTGCAAATTATGAATTAATAATATTTAAGTTGTATAATTTATAATTAAAATGTTCATAATCACAATCATCGAATTGCTGCAACTTATGTTTTTTTTAAAAATAAAAAAGTAGCTATAATTAAATTGAAATTAAGAAGTAATTGTCCTTCTTCCGACAAAAAACGATTGGATTGATGTGCTGGGTGAAGAAATTTGCAAGCAGTTTCACTTAGCGAGGAATTTGAAACTCTCTTTAGAGAGAGGGAGATTGATTTTTGTAATTCTTAAGCCTGAAGCATAGTTAAGACTTAAAAGTAACCATTGTCCTCCACATGAATATGGCATGATTTTTTTTAGTGGGAATAAGCATATCATAAATTACTCTGAACTTGAGACTGATTCTTATCAAATGGTTCTTTATTGTCTTAGTGTTAAAATATGGTAATATTGTTTTTCTGGATAGTGATACAGTAATTGAAAACACGTGACCACAAGGTAATATAACATGTGAATTTTAATACAATTTACATTAAAAAAATCTCAAAAAAGTACTGTTGAATTTTAAAATTTCAAATAAATATTCATTACTATACTCATAAAAAAAATGACTACATTCGCGACCTAAATCTAAAAGTCAAAGATCTTATTGATGAATATGGGATGTGGAGAGTAGCTGAGACTGAACATTTGTTACCACAAGACATTCTTGACAGGATAATAAATACATTACCTCTGTATTGTAGTGCTGAAGAGGAGGATAGGTGGAAATGGACACTGACAGGAGACGGTCAATTCACCACAAAAAGTGCTTATAAGTGGTTAATGGGTTGCAGAAACGGTCCGGGAAACCAGTTTTGGAAGGGTGTATGGAAGTTGCAAGTTCCAAAGCGAGTTAAAGCGTTCATTTGATTAGTAGGCCACAACATATTAGTCATAGGAAGCCTGACGAAAAAATGGGATGGAGGCTCAGGATTATGTCAGATCTGCAATAAACATGAAGTAAATGGGTTACACGCCTTGAGAGACTATACGTGGACTAAAGAAGTTTGGGGGAATTTAGTACAGAGAAGTGAGGAGGAGGAATTCTTCAGAGTATCTTGGAGATACTGGCTTGAGAGTAACTTAAGCAATAGGGCCAGGACACAAGGAAACAT